CATAATAAAATGAATCTATATGTCGATGTTGAGTGTTGAAAACATTTGAAAGGAAGATCATGCTAGTAGTCTCTTACGTATATAGCACAAAATGAGACACATATTAGCTCACGTTTTCGACACTCTGACATTTTTGTTTTGATCAACCGTACTAGATATGAGTTAGAAGCGCAACAATTAATAATTAGCTTGATCTCCCAATTTCAGTTATCTGTAGAGAAAATTACCAATGAACTGGCCGGTAACATTCTATTGGTGATTATATGCAACAGAAGTACAAGGCCATAGACAAAATCTCTGTTATTGTAGACTGACGTTTAAGAAGAAGAAAATATGCCTGTCGTAATATTTGATAGCTCTTTCCTTCAATCGATTCTTTAGTACATAATTTTTTTCTGTAACATACCGATGAGTAGCAAATACAATATAGGGATATTTTTGATAAATTTTCAAATTTTTTCTACGAATCATACATATTTTTCAAGAAAATATAGACGGATCTAAAATCTGTATGATTTTTTACAGTTTCAAATTGCCTGTCTTTCGATGTATAAGGAAACAAAACAGAAATACATCAAGATTTAGAGCAATTTGCTCTGAATTAACAAATTTGATAGGTTATAAATAGTTCAGTGATGTAAAAAGGGGAGACTAACGGATGATTAGTCGCTATCTTCAAGATGGGATTTTGAATCGGATTTCGTGTCATATGAATTCGAGGTTTGCCTGACAACATCACTTTTTTCCGTCTAACATCCGTCAGATCTTACTTGATTTGCTAAAGTGTCATTGTTATCGCTCGTCGATAAGATTTGACCAGTTGTATTGATGAAACTTTTCAAAAATGTAACCACTACTGTTACTGCTGCAATCGTTCACAAAAACAAGAAACCAACATGATAACTTCATTTTAAGTCACTCACCTCCATCATCACAGATTATTGCAGGGATTGTTTTGAGACGAGTGAGAAGAATGATGACAACCAAAATAATAGCCATAAATATGATGAAACTAATAACTTTGAAACACTTGGTTGGCACTCGATTCAGTCGTCGTTTTCTGAAAATCACACGTGTGATATGTACTATGTGATAGGATACAACAGATACTCACATTCGTGTTATCCCAGATGACATAATATGCTCGTTAATCGCCAGTCCTTGAACGTCACCCATTTGAGAGTTCTCACCTCTAAGTAAACAAAGTAGTGATATATTAACTAAAAATGCGCTGATCTTTTTGATAAATGGAATATAATAAGTAGCTACTACAAATCAGAGATCCTAGAACACGATAGAAAAGTGTGAACATTTTACTGCATGATCGAGCAACTTAAATGTTGTCCCCATCAACCGTATATTCTACAGCGCATTCACAGCTTGTCACAAATCACAGCACGAGCCTACTTGTGTTCGCTCTCTGAACTAAATAAGTCTATCAAGGTTTATCACTTCTTTCCAGTGATAATTTGTTAGAGCTAAGACTACGACTTGTCTGACCACAGTATATTTGAACGAACGAGAACGCGCTATTACCTCTTATATTGTAACAAAACATGAATGCATGATTGATTGCTCTATGTTGTCTTTCAATAAATATATACAGAGTTTTAGATAGTGATAATCGTCAAACCAATGATATTGATATACTAGTGGCATACGTATATGATACTACTTATCCTCTAATACAGTGGGCATTCACTTTTGTCTCTTATTATTTGGAACAAAATTGAAAAAGGATCGAAACGTAATAATATATACCGTTTGCTTAAAAAGAATCTATTTTCTCTTCTTAAAAAATTTGGTGAACCTTCAGTTTTCACATTTAATTGTTATACTAACTGTTTTCTATCTTTCTCCTTCTATTCGATATTTTACTACTAAACCTATTATTCGGTAACACTATGAGCTAGACTGATGAATATGTTTTTGGCTGTCTGTGAGAAAAAAAATGTTTTCGAGATTGCAAACTTCTTTGCAGGTACTCTTCATAGTGATTTTAGCGGTTTGAAAACAGTTGAAAGTCTTTAAGTTAGCTTTCTATCATATTGAAAAATGAAGTATCATACCGACATTCATAAGCATCACTTTCTCATCTACATAAAAAAACTATAGTACTAATAGCGACATGTGACTGATCTCTTTTTGAAAAAAATAATTTATTAAAGTAGGCTCTGATTCATTTTGAGGTATCAACCTTGATACGAATATAATGCAAGATTTAGCTTCAGGCTTATCCGTAAAAGTTTGCTGACATCACTGCTCTTTATATACCAGTGTGTTGTCTTTCGATGAATAGTCATACCTTCTAGTAAACAATCTCATTCAACATAATGTTGTCCTGTCAATGTTGGAAATGAATTGCTCAGGTAGCTGATAACAAATTGGTTGCATGAGAAATTTTGCGATTTAACTTTTCTCTTCAGACATTAATATTGTCTGCTTTCATAGATTGAGAGTTAAAACTAATATCCATGTACTTCGGATTTATCTAATAGTAGCGAGATAGCGAAAATAAGGAATTTTTCTTTAGTTACACAACCTTCGAACGTATAAATTCGTATTATGTAATTGTTTTCGATTTCGACTATTTAGTTAGGTGTAACATCGTCTTAAGTGCCATATAGGCGTTGAGAGCAAAACAACTTATACGTAAAGTTTTGAAGTTCGAACTATATGTTTGGAAACTACATTCTTTCTCTAGGGTAATTATATATAGGTCTTTAATGTACATTTCCAATTCGCTACATTTTTATTTATTTGACGTATAATAAAACTGATTCACAGGACTCATTAAAAAGCGGAAATCTCTGACAAGAAGTGTTTTTAATCATATCTATTAGCATAAAATGAGATTCTTCTGTCTGAATACAAAAGTTAAACCGCAAAAATTCTCATACAGTAAGTTTGTTATCAACTATCTGAACAGCGTATTTCCAACATTGACAGGACAACGTTATGTTGAATAAGATTGTTTACTAGAAGGCATAACGATTCATCGAAAGACAGCACACTGGTATATAAAGGGCAGTGATGTCAGCAAACTTTTACGGATAAGCCTGAAGCTAAATCTTGCATTATATTCGTATCAAAGCTAATGCCTCGAAATGAATCAGAAACTACTTTAAAAAATTATTTTCATTAAAAAAATCTGTCACATGTCACCATCAGTATTATCGATTTTGACGTAGATAAGAGAGTGACGTTTATACCTGTCGGTATGATAGTGTATGTTTGAATGCGCATATTTTCAGTTGTATCTCTGTTTCTGTTTCTGTTTCTGCGTAGATGTTTATCCGAGAAAAGGAGTTATCTTGCATTGGAATAATCAGCAACATATAGAAGTAAATCACACATCAGAACAATTAGAAGTAGTCACCATGTCCGTGCGCTGTGCCACAGATATAAGAGAGAAGAGAACCTGCATGCAATGAAGCGTAACGATTAATAACTGTAATATAGTTCTTGTCTTTACACTCGATTTTGAGTCTATTATATAATTGTGTGCTTATCGCCCTCACAGTTCTATCATGATCATGTTGCATTACTCAAAGTCACTAATAGAATAGCAGTAACTAAGCCATAGTCAGGATTTTCCAACTTTACTTTTCCAAAGAAAGATGTCCTTCGATGATTTTTTTGTTCATCATCGAGCCAGTTATCAATGAAATAGCCTTGCTGGGATAGAACTTACATCCCAATTACGGGAAACAATACGAACGATAGGTGTTGTTTACAAGCACTTCTCAGAATGAAGCTATGAAAAATTCATTTTAATCAGTGTCTTTTCATTTCTTATTTGATTTCATTGTGACAGGTAGGGTATTCCTGTTGACAGGAAAGCTTATTCGTAGGAAACTAAAAATTATTTTCCTCGTTGATTTGTTCTACTTGCAGATCAGTTTTCTGTACAATTATCAGTTCCGCACACCATGTTTAAATGTGTCGCATGTGTCGTGATTTGCGACACAATGTAGGACGCATTCCAGTGCGACACGAGGTGTTCGTGGCGACATATTATCTCCAGCGATGGCACAACACATTTTGTACGACACATGCAGCACATTCTGAAAGCGTTTTTTTTTAACCCACTAGCCAGTACATTTTTATATTTTTATCAAAAGATCATGATAATTTTTTCCGATTTTGGTCTATTGAACAGTTTCATTTTTGAAAACTCAAACAGATCAGACCTTGAGATCTGTCCGGTTTCGAGTGGATCCACTTTTTACCAGATCAGTTGCGGGTAGTCCCACCCGATCAATGACCAAGACAGTCATTTTCTCGACTAATTAAGAATCGAGAAATAATCTAAAGAATGTTTAAATGTAAGTACATAACTTTTGTATGTTCAATCGAGTTCTATGTATAAGGCCTTTTACGCAAAAGAAAAGGGTAAATCGATAGTCGGCGTACAGAACGAGACAAATTTATTTGCGGCACTTTCTGGTGCAACATATTTTCGACACTGAACCTTTGACACATTTTAATTTAGAGTGCGATAAGGGCTAAGCATGATTTTCTGTATTGTTCATGTTTAATCGTGCTGTGCTCTGCAGGTCAACCTAATGGAAAAGAAAGAAATAGCAACTCGCAAAATTCCACTAATAAGATATTCGCGTAGTGGAAACTGAATCACGTAAGAAGAGGAAGCAAAAACTGCAGGACAATCAATCGACTGCGGTGTTACTTTAAGTATCTATAGAATCAGACACCATAAGTTCAGTCACAAAAATGAAATAAAAGATACTTCTTTTTATTCAATTGCAGGAGAAAAAAATGCAAGATCTGACATTTTTACAGAATCATATGAAAGTTTTGTGACGAACATTTTTTTGTATGTGCATTCAATATTGCAATAATCTCAAGTTGTACTTAGAATAGACCGACATTAAGATACTTGCGAGCTAGGTAAATGACATTAGCAGTGAGAAAAGAAAAAGTGAGAACGATTATCTCTTACATTTTTTTTTCGTTTGAATAATTTTTCCTTTCAGATTATGACAAACCAAGTTAATAGTTCCGATGCGATTTCATCGTCAGATTCTACCGACATCGCAATTCCTCGTTCTGGTCGCTTTTGGCTTGTTCTTATATTTGAAATTCCATCCGTTATATGTTCGATCTTCATTCTCTATCATTTTCTTGTTTGTCGATCACTACGTCGAGCTCTATATAATCATGTTTTTATTGCCATAGTTCTCATCAATCTTATCGTTGAACTAATCGACATTCCATGGACTCTCAAATTTTATCAATCGAATACTGTGTGGTCTGTTGCGCACAGCCTTTGCATTGATTGGGTTTATGTTAATGAAGGACTATATATCACCCTCAAGTTACTCGTTGCTTGGGCTACCGTCGAACGGCATATTCTCATCTTTCATAATCAATGGATAACAACGAAAAAACAAATCATTCTGATTCATGTACTCCCATTGGTCATAATTTTAGTCTATGGTTTTGGGTATATTTTATCATTATTATTTTTCCACCCTGCCAAAATACATTTGACTACACTCAAATACGGTGTGGCGACCCACTTTGCATTTATGACAGTCAAATAGCGAGTTTGTGGGATGTGATAATTCATGATCTTACAGCACCCATCATTATCATCTTCTTTAGTCTTGCTCTTCTTGTTCGTATTGTGAGAAAAAAACGTAGCATGAATCGACCAATGGATTGGCATAAACATCGCAAGGTGGCAATACAATTATTGTCCATTTCATTTCTTTACCTGATTATATATGTTCCGTTCATGTTATTGGAATTCATACACAGCTGTGGTGTTTCAGAAGAATTTGGTGCCGACTTTGTCTTGTATGGAAATTTCTTGGCATATTTTGGGAATCTTCTATTACCATTCGTATGTGCCGGATCATTGCCTGAACTAGCGAAAAAAATCAGACACACAGTACCATGTTGGCGATGTCTAGCACGTATTCGTCCTCTTGAATCTTGTAGCATGGCACAGACGACTGGCCGTAAAGTAAATCGATTACCAATCACTGTTAAACAATGATTATGGTCTTGTATAAAAAAAAATACATTTATAAATAAAATCCGTAGTGTTGTTGGCTCAAATTGCTTATTACTTTGATGACCGAGTAGTACACTATCGTTTTGTCCTTCTCGAAAGTTGAGCACTATTACACAGCGAAGGTGGATAAAAACAATTGTAAGTTCTAGAAGGCTCCGTGTGTGTGGTTGTAGGTTGAGGACATTTCTTCACCCACACCCATGTCCTTGTTGTTAATTTAGTATAAATTTCGATGACATCGAATACAAGCAGCGTATCTTTTTCTATCTCTAATAAAGGCAACCCTCTGCTAATTTTAAACGATTTTATATATCGAATAAAAAATGAAATAGTATTAAAAAATATTGGATTTGCGAAAGAAATTGATACAATATGTATATATACATACGAATATACAGAAAGGGTTTTTTGGAATAGACAGGGGCCGCGCGAAGTGTCTAAGATGGGGGGGTGTAAAGGGTAAAAAAATTTTACGAGACGTATTCGTAGTGAAAAAGTTTTAATACAACACCACAGTTAGGTTGTTCAATTTAAATACTTTATTTTTCGAGCAAAATCATGGCAAGAAAAGCAAGAAAAACATGATTATTAGTTTATTTCACACATAACATAAGCATAATAAACTCAAAAAAGCAATTTTTTAAAATTAGAATGCGCGTTCTATGGAAGTTGGATGCGTCTATCCTTCATTTTTGCTCAATCCTTTGCTAAATGGTTTTATTGGGGGAGGGGGGTACACTTCCCACCCACCCCCCGCTTTCGCGGTTCCTGGAAATAGACGTTGCTCAATTATTAGATGGCTTCTCACTCATCATAGCCAAACAAAAGAAATAAACTTATACATGAAGAAATATTTTCTTTTTATTAATTTTATAACAAATTATGCTTGATTCATTTTATTTGTTGATGTGCTTAAAATTTTATCAGACAATATAAAATCTTCATCTTAGCAGTCTAAAAATATTAAAATAAAGTTTTTCGCTATTTTTATTTCGCTATAAATGCTTTCGCTATTTTTTCCATTCAGCATTTTCAATTCGACATTTTCTATTTCGCTCTTTTTTATTCGCTGTTTTTTCTTCGCTCTTGTACCGTTCGCTCTTTTCTTTCGCTCATTTTGATACATACCAAAATTTGTTGTTGATATCGAACTGTTCTCGTTCGAATAAAGATCGATTTCTAACCTGTTAGCTCACTTTTATGAATGCCAATCAGGGCTGATCTAGTTTTCCTATGACCGAAAACTTTACCATTGAGGTAACCATTCGGGGGATTCTGACGAGCATCGTACATGTACACTCTGCTGTATTTATTCGTGGTTAATATTTTACAAAAATTGATCCAGTTTCAAAACTATGAAGATCAAATCATTGCCAATGATAAAGATGTTAAATAAAAACAGAGACATCGATCTTTGACTAAAAATTATGCATTAAACGTTGTTTTTTTTTAGAAAATATCAGTTTATTTTTAATAAAAAAAAAAGTTGTCTGCATATTAATAGACATTTGGCAATTTCTTCAACAAAATATAATAATCTGCTAAATTCTTTCTATAAATAAGATTTTTGAATAAATTCGCATCAAACACTAACAGAACTATGCTATTTTGGATACTAATACATGCCTCTATTTCAACATCAATTTTAGATAAGTACAAAAAAAAACGTTCTTCCACAGTCGATCTTTAATATTTGACGAATGAATTAATTCTATGCAATTAACATCATCATAGTCCTGAGATATTATTGATCATATTGGGAAATATTGGAAAATATGATTGAATATTATAGGTTTAACATAGAATCTACAATGAAAAATACCATCAATAAACCATAGGGAAAAAAATGTTCACAGACTTTGTCTTCGGAATTTTATTAAAAATCGCTTATTTTATCGGTTCAATTATATCCTATGTAAGGAGACAAAAGTGAGATAGAGTATTGCTAGTGATCGTGAAAAGAGCGTTACTAATCACATAAATAGCTCTAAAAATCAAAAGGAAATATTTCCGTTCGAAGGAAGTAACCTGACATTTACCACTTAACTGAACTATGAAGATGGGGTTTTTTTCTTCAAACAGTGTTTTTTTTCTTCGATGATTCTAGTCTACATAATTAAAAGTATGCCAGTTCTAATCTAGAACGATTGAGACTGTAAGACATACTATAGAAGACAAGGCGGTGTCACTCATGTTCATCTTAATTCAAATCTAGATGCAAATTTTAACCTTCAAGCTTGTGAATAAGCATAAGTCAAATCTCTCATTGAATTGAATATGATATTTCTTCATGATGGAGTCTCAAGGCACAAATAGGATTCTTTTACTAATAACTCTTTCAGAGTCTTCGACTTCGCATGTACATTCAATAGAGAAAAACAAACGAACAGAGCCCTACACAAAATACGTACTAATAATCGTGAAGCATATAAAAAAAATTCTTATAAAATAAAACAAAATGTGATCGATTGTTTTTAGTTTGACCTTTATCGATTTTCATATTCACATTCAAACTGTTCAATTAATGGGCACCAAAAACATGCGAAAAATTTTGCTGTCGAATACAAACAAATTAATCATCATCCAGAATAGCTTTCTGTAACGTTGTTAAATAATACTCATATGTACTATTTATAATTCCCCATGAAACAAGACTTCGAATGAAATTCCATTTTGCGCCAATATAAAATTCTTTTATAGAATTCCCTCGTTGTTCATAAACATAGCGAAGTATTTGTAATGGTCGATCGTGCCGACCACCAAGCTCCGATTGTTGAATATTTTTTAAAACATTTATCGGATAAGTAAATGTCGACAAAAAAGCACCTAATAGGCCACCACTTAAAAAATCATACATCGAATGTTGCAAATTAGTTGAAGCTGTTGGTAGCATGTCTTTTACAGGTTTTCGACATGCAAAAAATATTATATTTGACACACTGTTACGTATGAGAATTAATGTTATACCACGATAATATTCTATGATACCATAATGTTTATACATTAATATGAATGCATGTAAACCATTACGAATACTGTTATTATATTTAGGTGTTTGAAGTAATACTTGTGTTCGTTCTAAAGGTGTTAAAACAGCTTCGGTGGCACCGGCTAATGCTGAAGCAATCGGTTGATAAAACCAATGATCGTTTTTTGAAGGTGATCGTAATATATGTAAATAATGTGCATTAGCACCAAACATAATACTTAAAGAAAATGTTTTTTGTAACAAAGGCAATGCCATACCACGATATAGAATAAGAAAACCTTCATCTTTTAATTGTTGAAATGCTTGAACGGTTTGAAGACGATAGATTTGTTGTCGAAAAATTAATTTATTAACTGGATAAGTTAGTAGAATATTTGTTGCAGATGAAAAAAAGCCAGCGGCATATTCAGGTGAACGTTGTTTTAGTCTATAGAAGACTTTTTGCCGTCTTGAAGTCATAGGAACAAAATATGCTCTTTGCTCCTTTTCATAACTCATCACGGTAAGACGCCACCATCTAGAAGAGAGCAGTAGAGATATTTACTTTGTCAAATTTGATTTACAGAGAAAAGAAAAACCACACACAAACACACACAGTGATATTTGTATATACATAGAAGCGAAAAAAAATTTGATTAGATCAATGATAAGATAGACTAGCATTCACTTATTGTTCCTGGAAGACGATTATGTTGATAGATTGGAATTGATGATCTATATCAATAGCAAAAGTAAAATTGATTTGCATTTTGTAATTAAATCTATTATACATACTGAATTGTTTGTAATGTCATTGGTGTTAAGCATTTGACTTGTTCAACAGGTATTTCGTCTGTTGTCGTATGACATAAATATTTATTCAGGCAAGCAAATATTTGTTGATTGAGTATTTGAAATTTTCTTATGCGTTCCGTAAATGTTGGTAATGACTAAACATTAGAAGCACATATTTAAAAAACAAATTTCAATAAAAAGTTCTTTGCTTCTTACCACATTTTTCACTTCATCCTCCTTTTGATCACTACGATTGATTTTAAATAAATGATATGTAAAATCGTATGTTTCAAACTTTCGATGTTCACTTAATAAACGTATGATTGTACAACCAGCAAAATTTAAACCTTCACCATATAATTGTTCAACACTCATGTCATTTTCATGACGAATTGGTAAACAATAAACAAATTGTAATGCACTCCATATACGATGAAAATCATGTGTATCATCGATATTTGATAATGGACTTATATTACTACTAACGGCTGATGATGAATTATTTGACCACACAGGATCTTCGAGAAGAAATCCACGAATACGATCAAGCATAACTTCAAATGTTGTTAAACCAATACAAAGACGTTCACGTGTTAATAAATCAGATTCTTCGACAAGTTTTCCTTGCTTAAAAAGAATTCATAGTAATGATTGTGAAGAAGAAAAATGATGTGATTATTACCTTTTCAGTACCAAGTTTTTTAATAATATTTACAAGTGACATAGCTGCATATTTAGCTTCGAGACGTCGAATTTTGGCTTCAAGTGCTTCACCTTCCTTTGCGTATGGACGTGGAATTAGATTTTGAAATGGTGCAGCTTGTAATAGATCTTTTATTTCTTCTTGAGACTGAAAAAGAGATACGTATTTAATTAATATTGAACAACGGCTAATTGATCTCGAAGAAAAGGTCAATGTGTGCTCCGTTGAACTCAACAGTACACCGTACAAATATTTTCTCTATTAACAAAAGAAAAATGATCATAAAAATTGATGCTCTGAGGTATTGCATTGATTGCTGAACAGCTCTGAAGATTAACTAACCCCGGATGTATCGATCCGTAGGTCCAAGAAATTGAATTGCATAGAAAAATTGGTACTACACTTTTTTACGAGAAAACATCAATTTGATTAACCATCGAATAAGTTCATGATTTATATATTTGTCAGATTCATAAAAAATCGGCAAAGATCGGTATCTGTTCTAATTGACTTACTAGACTTTGTTCAATCATAAGAAAAAACAAAATAGCATTTCCAAGTTCACGAAAGCAATGAAATACATCTTGTAATGCTGGATAGTGAATAATTTCATGAAGTTGATGAAGATAGTATTGAAGAATAGCTTTAATGAAACGTAAAAAAAACATGTTCTTTTGTCAAAATAATTAATTCATCTATTTACCTGGCGATCCATAATCTGATCGAGGTAATTTACATTGCTTCGGCATGCATGCACGTAATTTTTCCACAAATTCCCGTATAGTTTTATCCAACTAGAACAGTAAGAAAAAAATATTTTCAGGAAAAGACTTCATTTTTCATACCAAATTCTTGACAACTTTAAGCATTTCTTGAATCACAACAGCTATGCCCTGATAGCCAAGTAGACGAGTCATTGTTCGAAAATGTTGAACACCAACAAAACCCCGATAGAGATTATTCACAATATCATAAGCTTGATTTAATTCTCGTGTTCCATATAATTGAACATCAGGAATTTCACGTGTCATTTTTTCTCGCCTTGTTTCATTCACGTGTGGCTGTTGAGTTTTAACAAATCTATTCGTACTTCCATTATAACAATAATGCGGTAAAAAATCGTATGTTAATTCCCAGAATATGTGTAATGTTATACGGCCAAGTGCACTCGATACACTGTGATTAACTTCGCTAACAATCGATTCAAAACTATCCAATGTTAAAAATGACGAAAGAAGTTCATGTGTTAAACGATTCACTTCTAGTAAGCATTGTAATTCCTTGATAAAAAAAAATCGATTTGATTATAAGAAAAATGCAAAAATAGAAATTTTACCATAACACCAGTTATATTAACTGATTCAAAACGTTGAATTGCGGTTTCAAGTGATTTTTTAAATGATAACGTTAAACGTTGAGTTAGAAGAAATGTTAAATCAATTGAACGGCCAAGAAGCTAAACGAAGAAATAGCTTTTTAAGAATTTCTATTCACTCGAATTTACACTATAAAATTATTCCGCGTACGAAATTTTTCAAAAAAAAACTATCAAAATTACATCACGTAGTCATCTTCCTACCTATACATAGACTAGTGCATTTAACTCCTTACTAAAATATTTAGGAAGCCGAATGTCATCTTTTATTCATTTACTCAAAAAAATTAAGTTGTCACTCACTTGAATGTGGCGTTGTTTAAGTAATGAATCATAACGATTAGCCGATGGAAAAACTACTTTAATTCCATTCATATGACATTCCGAACGATATCTTTTGTCAAGTAGCATGCTAAACAAACAATAATTCTGTTATCTTTTACTTTATAAAAATAAAAAAACTTACCAAGCAGCTAATGATTTAAAATGGGTGAAGATTTTATCACTCAATTTAAATACTAATTGATCAAAGCAAAGATTAACTTCAGCTTCAATTTCATCATATAAAAATTGTTTACGAAATACAAGTAATGCATGCATAGCTGCATCATTATATAAATCCATGGGATAGAAAACATATCTAATTTATTAAAGAAAGAGAATGCATTAATTGAATAATAAACTACAAATAGAAATTTACTCTATCATTGGTTGTTTTATTGATTCCAAAATATGATCCGCTAAAATCCATGGCATCGACATTTCAATTGGAAACTATAAAAAAACAAAAATAATCGATTTAGTAATAAAATTAATAAACAAAACTTTACTTGAATTTTTCTTCCCATCGTTAATTCAAGATAAAATTCTCGATACCACAGTTGACTTAAATCACCGCATTGTTTCAATGTTGCTACAGAGAGAAAAACGAACTTCAATAAGTATTTTAAAGCAGTCATGATATAAAATTTACCATCAAAATTAAGAAGATAATCCCAGAAAAATGATTGTTTATGAAATTGATCGATCAATGATAGATGATTGTAATCTAAAAATATATTAATATAAAACACATGCTTTTTTTTCAGTGATAGAATTCTATTTTTTTTTATCATCAAATAACCTTCTTTTTCCGAGTACAGCTACTATGATTTTCATTGTTGTCTGTAATTCCAAACTCACTTCGATAAGTTACATAGAAAAATTTTCTTATCCATGAATGGACGGAGCACATTCAATGGTGCTTCCTCGTCCGGAATTTTACATTCAATTGTAAAAGATGTCAACTTTCTGTGCTAACGTGAGAAGAGTGTTTTTTGGTTCTGCAGAACGACATCGGACAGAAAAAAGTAAGGTTAAGGGTATTTTTCACTAGTCAATATTGTGTTATCAAGCAGAAAAAGTATGGATAGAAAATTCGAAGAATAAAACACATTTTTATTATTATAGGAGATTCTATCTGTTATATGCGTTTGAATGCATCTAGAATAGGAAGTGAAGTCTTACCAATATCTTTTCTCAACGTTCTTTTTCCATAGCCACTTTTATCTGTTAAAAGAGATTCAATCATTGTTCGAACCATATAAAGCTATAAATAATTTAAATCAAAGATCTGTTGTTGTTGTTGTTTTCTAATCAATAGAGCAACAAACCTGAGTACTTGACGGTCCAACACATCGTTTGTTGAGTCGAATATGATTCAATTCGGGATGGTCTTTTTTACTGCCATGACTTTGATTCAGTTTCAATCCTAATGCAAGTGACTCTTCAATAGAACCTGATTCACCAACACCATTAAACCAATCAACACATGTATCACGTACAGCAATTAAGATACTAAAAATAAATCAATTTTTTCAACCAGCAAACTTTTCAAGATAGTACCTTTTTGTTAAATCTCGTTTCTTTTGTGTGACTTTTTTAATCATATCTCTGATATGCATTTGAACAAATGTTTGCAAGTCGATATATGTTGTTGAACAAATAGCTTCATAAAATGTTTCATTCAAACGATTCATTTGTAATTGTAAACCTTTTATTAATGAGAGAATTTCAACCATAGCAAATTTTTCTTGGCTTGAATAATTATAGCGTGTTGCACGTTCATATTCTTCACCATCATCTTCATATTTACTTGCACCTTTACGATAATCAGCTGGATGAAGAAGTTTCCAACAGTATCTAAAATAAAAACACAAAAATGAGCGTTCAACATTTAAATAGAATTATATATTACAATTCAAGAATTGAATTCGTCCATTTTGATAATAATTGAAGACCTGTTAATCCCATATTGTATAGATATTTCATTTCTTGATCTGTGCGTTTCATTACTTTTTGTATTGCACCCTGAAAAGGAAAAAACAATTATGATTGTAACGAAACAAAACTAAAGCCTTCCTATTGCATTTCTGGAGGATTATGAAAAATATATCAGTAAAAGAAATAAAATCGCGTTCTAAATTTTAATGTCAATATGTTTTTTCGACATATTCCTTTAACAAACCTCATTAGTATATCGAGCTAAATCAGCAATAAATCTTTCATGTTCTTCACGAATTTCTGGTAATTGCATTAGAAGATTTCCTTGCAATGATGATGTTGAGGCATCATTGCAGATAGGCCATTTACTTGGATCGAAATTTGGAGATTTTTTAATATAATTAAATGGAGCTATTTGCATATCACCGTAGAGTGGTACAACTTCAACAGTCTAAAAATAAAATTCATGAAAAAATTGAGGAAGATTTTTTTTTAGTATAAACTTTACCTTAAAGATTTTATCGATTCGACTAACATTAATTTTTTTCTTAGCATCAAGTTTATTTATATTACACGCTGTTGAATCAATCAAAAACAAACTAAAGCCAATTACCTAAAAATGAGAGAATTATTTTCTAAACATACAATTGTTTGCTAAGTATCTCTCAATAGAAAATAACTCTTTATTCTTCACATGGATTTAAGAATAAAGATTTCAGTCAATAGTAATTACTATAGATTTTTAGATGATGTAAAAGCGTTTCAAACAAATTACTCAGAGATATTCGGTATAATTGAAAAAGAAAAATACAATATATTTCGAAAATTTTTAGTACAAACAATCTTATTTATAAACGAACCGTCACGTCCTTCTGTGTTGTTGTTATTCATGACTCTTTATTTAGACTCCGACATACCTTGACGAGCATATGTTTTTCACTTGGTAATAAATAGAGTTTATTTTCGAACATATGTACACTTGTATTAACAACGTCAGCGAGTAATTCTTCATAACCTGTTAATAATTTTAAAAAAATAATTGATTTAAACATTTGCAATAGAAATTGAAATTTTCAGTTACCTTCTATTTGTGCTAACGATGTTTTAAGCATAGTTCGAATTTTATCATTTGTAGCTAAAAACATTGATAAATTTTGTGATTCAGTTAATGCTGTTGAATCACTAATAACTCTTAAAAATTGAGCAGCTCTAAAATAAAATAATCTTAAAAATTTATTGTATGAAAATCATTGTCTCATACCGTCGATACGCTGAATAATCATTTTTAACTGATGATTTCATATTTTTCAATTCATCAAGTACAGCAAACATATTAATAAACTCGCCTAACGTTAATAAATAAGCTTCACTAACAAATTCTTTTCTTTTTTCATGGTGACACAAACGGCGAACTTGATTACAAAATGTATCAATCGCAGTCATCTAAATAGAATCAAGATATGATTTCAATTTAAAATAAAATCTTCTCATACTGAAAAATGCATAATTGCCATTAATTTTGCTACTTCTGGTTGCAATGCTTCAACAGTTTTTTCATAAATTTCAATACGATTTGGTTGTTCAGGTGATTTAACCTAAAATAAATCATAGTAAATAGTACAAGATATTTCTCGTAGAATAAAATAAAATTCTCCATTCCCATTAGAAAACAATATAAGCAGGGAAATTAAGTTAGCGCAGACACTCGAACTTACAACATATTGATAGTCAACTATATAAACAATTTTCATAGTAAAAAATATTTATCAATTTTTTCCTTTAAAACAGTCAAAATCTTACTGTTGGTATAGCTCGTGAACAACAACGCCATGTGTAAAGTGTCATCGCATGTTGATAACCTTGTTCAAGAAGAAGACTCTGAAGAGAAAACGGTTTCAAATAGAAATAACAAACAAAAAGAACTATTTATATGTTCATACTAAATTTGAATGTAAAACAGCTTCTTCAATATATTTTGATATTCCAGTAATATAAGCTGTTTTATCTTCGAAATTTGTGTCAAAATTGGCTTCATAAACAATACCATTGTTTGCACCTTCAACACTTGGTTGAGAATCAATGAGTGGAAGTTCATAGAGAACTTCAACATTAGATAAAGCATCGGACATAGATACTCGAGTATTCATTTTCCAGGTCGGATGTATACAAGATTATGGTTTAGCACGTGTGCAAGAAAATACAACAAAAGAAGTAGGTCATTAATTATTGGATTCTTCTAAAAGCAATAAAAACAATTGTTGTCCCACAACGAGAGAGATCAGTGACATCTGTTGACTGACCGCAAGGAAATATATTGAGCATACGGACGATCTTGTAATCTATATCAATGAATATTTGAGTAGCATACAACAGGAATTTATATATAGATCTAACAGCATTGAGCTCTATCAATTTTGTGAACATTATTTTGTTTGTGTTATGTTAAGAATGAAAATAAATTTCAACTCTTCCAAATAATAATTTCTAAAGGACAAGTTCATAGAATGTAAATAGTGAACATAGATGCACCATGTTGCATATTGCCTCTGATTGTCTTTATATTGATTTTTTTCCAAAATATTTCAAGCACTTTGGATAGACATTCGATGAGTATATATATATATATATTATGTTTTATTTGCAAGTGTGGTTGGAAAAATGCATAGGAATGATTTCTTTACTGTTTCGAATCATGTTTCATCTACATAATTTAAGAAGCTACGTTATCGTGCTAGTTTTAGCATTAAATTCAAGAATTTTATTAAACATCTATTAGAAGTATGATATTTTTCGTTTTCATATTGTCAGTAAGTCAAAAAACGATTATTTTTTAAAAATTAACCTACGTGAAATATTCATTCGAACGATCTTCAGCACTCCTACTCTAATTTGTTTTCATCACCAAGACGTAACCATTGAATGGTCATCAAAATCCACCTAATCAGCTGTCAAATTACACTTCCCTAGTCAACTATCCCTAGAAGAATCCCCAGAGCTAATCGTTATTTTGCGGGGATTCCCCAGGGGAGTCGTCGGGGGAGAGTGGATTAGGGTTTGAAAGATCTAAGCGAAAATATGAGACAATACAAAAGTTACCATTGAATAAATATCTAGTAGCATTGCGACTCACCGAGACCCAGGCCTACACTCTATGATCTAAATCTATTTTTATAAAATTTATATGCGAGCATTATTCGTGTTTATATTCATTTTTTTTTCAAAATATTAACTAGATAAAATAAACTCCAGTAAGAAAAACAAAAATATCAGTGTAAAATCTACGTGATCACTGCTCATGCAATATAACTGAGAAGATCTTTATTATGCGAATTGATTTCAAGATACTCTTTCGTAATCAGAGAATTGATGCAACCCTAAAAACAAATAGAAACATATTGAGGAGAAACTAACAAAATATTCTTCACTTTGATGGTAGAAATGTCGGGATTAAAATGTGAGCGCAATTGTTCAATAACCGTTTGAATTAATACATTTTGAAGCATTGTCTGATGTAATTTCATTGTTCGTACAATTGTTGTCTAGAAGAATATAAACCAAAAAGCTGATTGAAAATATAAGATAGTTTTTACGAACTCGAATAATCATTATTCGATCTTGATCAATCTTAGTTTGAAAAGTTTCCATATTTTTTTCTTCAGTCGATTGTATGCCAGTGTTTAAATTAATGTGATATTTATCACTAGAAAGTGCTAACATAAAAATATCACTATTCAAAAGATACCGACTGCGTACCTCTTAAAATCATTTGATAATTTTACTTTACAATTCATATCGAAATTCGTTGGATGTAGGAATTGTGTACATGTTAAAATCTTCGATTGCACTAATGCATTCAGAATAGATATTAATAAATCAATTGTAATCTGTGTTTGATCGTGAATTTGTTCTACTGTCCATTCCAGTGAATCATTGAATAAAAGAAGTATTACCATTTGGTATGTCGATACCTGTGCATGAAATATTTCAGACAAAAGTAGAAAACAGTACTATTTCTGTTTACTCGTAATTTATGCACTTTCTGCGTAAAGAAGGTTTGCAATTCGCCTTTAGAATGTTGATGAAGCCACGTAAGTTTTCGACCGTTATGTAAATTTTTATAAAACATATTGAAATTATTTAGAATAGTTTCGAGTTTATTAGGAAGAATAATATTCGATGGGGTTGAGAATGACCATGTGTTAGAATTCAGAATCATTACACTAAAATTAACTAGAATAAAGGCAATTATTCACAGTATATACATATATATATATTTGTTCCTGTCGAACTTTTGTGATCAACTTGCTGGTTTTCGCAGTATTGATTGTATTTAACAAGTATAGTTTCACTAATTTCAATATCTTGACACATTTGTTTCATTTTATATGCAAAGCCAAAACCACATGTTGTCTAATAAGGATTAAACGTACTATTAAAAATGAATTAAGTAAATATTAGACTTAACTGCGATAGTAGAAATCATTAATTGTTCATGATCATTTGAAATATTGATTTTGTTAATCAGTCGTTTTGCTAATAGCTTGGAATATACATTTACGAAAACATCTTTTTCGTGCATATAATACAACAGAATCTATGCGAAAAATAATTGTATACAAAATAAATAGTAAATATTTACTTTTATTTGATGGAAGGCAATTTCAATATTCGTCTCTTCTTTCCTTTTTCAATTCAAGAAGAAAATATGGTTATATCAAAACCAAATTTTCTTACTCTTTTCGAAGAAGTTTATCACAATAATGAGCTAGATGCTTAACCATGCTGATTGGATTTCCAATAGTTTGAATGAATAGATTATCATTAATAAACTTCCGACAAGTCTAATGATTTAAAATAATAGAAGGAATTTTCAACACATCAAAAACATTTACTCGATTGAAAATATCAATAAATTCATGATGATTATCAAAAGCTTTTTGAATAAATGTAAGGTATTTTTGATGAAGATTATATATTGATTCGATGTAGATTTTGAGATCCTAATTAAATTCACAAACTAAATTTATGACAAGATAAAAAGTAACTGATATTTGCAGCTATTTTATTCACAGCTTCAATGCCAATTTGATAGATATGATTTTCTATCATATTTTTCAGCTTGTCTGTGCCATTTTCTATTCGATGAACAGTTTGATACACGAGATTTAGTTCTAGAAAACAAAATCATTCATTTATTATTCTATATGTAAAAAGAAACAGAATAATCATTCAACCTGGAATTTTTTCATCGTGTACTAATATTTTTGCTTCAGCATCAATCGATTGCAATTGTTCGATAATAAGAACTTCTTCAAGTTTTCTTTGTTAGATTTTTGACTGATGAAGGATGCAGATATTCCACTGCACGATGAACTTCTTCATCGAAGTATTGATGAATCTAGTTGAAATAAATTACTTGACGACTTCATATAATTTCAAAATAAAATTAGAATAAACCAGTGAAATATAATCCATAACTGAATTACGTTGCAGATATATTGTCGCTTTCTGTCGATAAAATTCTTGTGTATCTTGAAGAAATTGATCTTCAAAATACTCTTGATAAACATCTAATATCTGACTACGCGTATCCGATGTAGACCCATGCTGATTGATAGAAGAGGTGACTAGAAATGAAAATCAAGAGAAAATTCGAAAGTCATCGTATTTTTTAGATTTCTTACTATATGTTTGAATGATATTATGAATAGTTTCCGTATCGATTTTCTCTTGATTACGTTCGGCTTTAATCAAATTCAAAGAAAAATTTATGATTTTAGTATAAAAAAGTCGAAAAACCACTTGCTGCCACATTTCCATGGCCATCTAAATAATATAGTGGAAGTGTAGTGTGAGATATATTGCAAAAATATTTGTTACTGGATAAGTCTCATGTATATTTGTATTGCCAGCATTGATTGCACGTTTTATGTAGTGTCGATGAATGTATGAGCAAATACCATGTAAAATTTTACAAGAAATACAATATTTTTTCCATTGGTGGGTATAAAATTCAAGTATTTCTTGATCTGGTAAAGTAGTATTGGACTGAAACATTTGAAAAACAAAAATTCATAAATTAAATTAAATAAAGTAAAGCAATTTACTTGACAAAGATTTTCAAGATAGTTTCTTAGATAATCTCTTAATTTTTCATATAAATCAGCACCCTTCACATCGGAATTTTTTGTGCAATAATCAAAAATATAACTAAGCAAACAGTGTTACAATCTTATTCCACAAAATAATGAACTATCAACATACGTATAGAGTAACATCCATTTAGAGTATCGTATAGTTTGAAATTGAAAAAGCTGTTCAATACCATCCAACAAATTTCCCCAAACTTCATCGAGTGTAATGCACTGTTCTTGTCTTGCCATTTTTTATAGAAATAAAAACAAAATCCAGTGTGATGCGTGTGCAATGTAGGAAGTAAAAATTACACGCGCAACTGTTTATCGTAAAACGAGCTTGCAGGAACGAGTAAAAGAGGAAAAATCTTGTGCGTATGATTCAGACACGATCTGATTCGGCAATAGGATGGAATACATAAATGATCTTGAGCGATGAAACTAAAATCGAAAAGTCAAGTTAAAAACAATATTATATAGAAATCTTCACATCTTCGATGGAAATTTTCTTTACTATATGTTGAGACTATGATCATTTTAATTTGTGTTTTTTCTGTATATATACCCATACAACTTCAAGATTTTATTTTTCTATGTTTATTGTTTAGTTTTTTTTAAAGTTTAATCATCTTTACATTTAGTCAGTCAGATGTAAACTAGTGCTCAAAAGAAATTAATCTACCATAAAAAACTACGTTCTGAAACCTATGTTTAAAACGATTACAGTACGATACAGAATATGAATGACGAAGAGTTTTCAAAACGTTTTTTATTAATATCAAAATTACTTTGATCATTTTTCAATTAAACGACAAAGACTCGAGTTATCATGCAGTCGAATATTTTCTTATTAGTTTATTCTATTTCGACACAGTTTTTAAATCATTTTAAAAAAGAAAAGCATCGATCGAATACAATCCTTATTCAATTGGAAAGTTTCAATATAAAGTTGGCTTTGAATTACAATCGAAAATAGTAATTGAAAACCTTACTGGTGTGGAAGGCAATGCTTCGATATACGAATGTCACTAGATAAATTAGCAGAATGATGATGAAGAACAGATACTTCGTAATAAATTCATTTATTGATATGAGTGAACACAATAGGATTCAGTTTTCCTATGAAACAGTACCGAAAATAATGACAATCGACTTTCTAGAGCTATTATATTCGATCAAAACGAAGGGCTAATATCCAACATATATTACGTCCTCTATGCGTTAAAAATTGTATGGATGAGCTTTGCATATCTATCTGGATTTAGTATCAGTATGTTTTAAATCAAGCTGATGATACTATTTGAGTGATCACCTTCTCGTTATCTGGATTCAATGGATCTTCGAATCAATTTATATAATAAGAAAGCTTCAGATGGAATGGAGAAGTATTTTTTATACTAACTTTTTCATGAGATAGGACAATATGTTTGTCTCATTTCATTCCATTTCATTCGGAATTTTGTTCGAAAGATATTATTAATTTTTTTAAAGCTAAGCTTCTTGTCTATAGCTCTTTCATCAACAATAGATATACCAATCTCATAAATAATACTAATAATTCATTTCTTTTTCGTCAACAATAGTTCTTTCGAATATTTTGACCAATTTGAACATGGATAGAGAACAATTGATTGATTATTGAAAGTCAACCGATGGTCATCGGTGACACGCACAATATTCCGTAAACTGATCCAAATTTTATCTAATTATTAGTACTTTTGTTCTAATACACTGAAATTAAGGCAGTACAATTATAATAAGAGATAAGTAAATATCATGCTATTGAATATATACCTTCATCTAAGAAGTATAATACGTTCTATCGCTACCCAGATACTCTGAAAGAAAAAAAGGAGTTTTACGGAACCATTTTAGGGGTTCTGGTATCGGGTAAAACGTAGAACCCTCGAAAAAGGTTCTGACTGAAAAAAGGTTCAGTAAAGAAATAACGAAACCATATGTGATTTTTCTTCAAAAAAGGTTCTGTCCTACGTATAAGGTGTTCCATGATTTAAATGGTTTACCGTTGGGATTTCCCTTATCTCTGTATCCATATTTCAATATTCTTATATCTATACCCTTATATCTATACCTTATATATATACCCTTAAAACTATACCCTTACAATTATACCCTTAAAATATATCCTTCTATCCATACCCTTAAACTATACCCTTATTGCTATATCTTATATCTATACCCTTATTTGTATATTGCCTAAAAATAGTGTGGTTCCGGGAAAACTTTGGAGCCTTTCCGATTTTGCCACGGTCTGAAAGCCTTTCAGAGTTTCCGAATATTGGTGTTCAAAGCCTTCTGAACCGAAACAAATGGTTACAGTACTTTCTCATAAAGCAATATCAGAAACTGCAAAAAGGTTTCAAAGCTCACCAACGTTGGAATGCATTGGAGGATCTGAAAAATATCGGCAGTCACACAGATGTCGAACCCATGTCGTCTGTCATAAAAACATCAAAATGACATATCGTTGTTTCTCGAATACTGATATATAACTTAGCCATTCGCTGAGATTCATTTGAGGAATCTAAAAGAAAAGAAAAGAAAAATTAATATTAGGTTATTGATTCTTTAATGTAACTCACCCTTTGAAAGAAATTCATTCCAAGAACCTAAAAGAGAAAAAAATCGATATTTATGTATAACGTTTTTATTCTTAAATGAAGCTTATTATTTGAATAAAATCTATTTGAAGAATCTAAAACAAATAATAAAAACTTAATATAATTTTCTAATTCTTGCATATAACTTACTGATTGCACAAAATGTATTGAAAGAATCTAAAAGAAAAAGAAATCTTGATATTAGTTGTTGATTCTTCAATGTGAATTACCCTTGGAATGATACAATTGTAAAAAGCTACACGAAAAAAAAAAGAAATTTTGATATTAGGTTTGTATTCTGAAATGAAACTTACCGTTGGGATGCAATCTATTTGAAGAATTTAATAAAAAGAGAAATTGCTATAGGTTTTTTATTGTTCGATTCTGTGATTTTAAGATAAAAATCAGTTATAATGATCATCTGAAACCAGAAGTTTGTGGTGTTCACAATTACTACAACCTTTTTAAATTATTATGGCTATTTTTAGTTAGTTTTTCTTGAAATTTAATGAAACAAGTTAGCCTTAGAGTGTAGCCTTATAGCTATGTCCTTATTTCTCTAGCCTTAATCCTTCAGCTTATAGCGATACCTTGTTATCCATGCCTTGATATCTACACCATTACAATTCTTTTATTTTCAGCATGCCTTTACGATTGCATTCTTATATCTCGAGCGTTTTATTTATATCATTATACTAATAACCTTATATGGATTTCCTTATTACTATACAATTATTTGTGTATTCGCGAAAGTATATGTTTTGAACTATATCCTTGGATTCATATGGATTTTTATTAAATCCTCTATCTTATTTGTAAGATGTGAAGTTCAACGGCATGTGTGCACATCAATTGCGTATGATATGGCTGAACAATTTCATAGTGTAAAATGTTTAATTGAATGGTTTATTTTGTTGACGTTAACGAGTGTTTTAGAACAAACACGATAGACAACGATAATATGATAATAAATCGTATGTAGCCGACGCACACGATACTTAAAAATATTATTAGAGCTTCATTAGAGTCGTCGAATTGTGAGGATAGTCGTAATTTATCTCAAAGCAACTGGATTACTAAATATGGATGATAGCATTATTTGCCTTTATAGTTATTTACCAGATTTAGCATATATTAGCTAGACGTTGAGGAAACTATGGTGATTTGTTTCAATCTTTTCCTGGGAATGACAATCAGATGAAAATGTAAAAACAAAAGTAAAATTACTCGAGAAGAAAAGAAAATTCACCCCATCTCAACGACTTGAGTGCGAAGAGCATTCTCAATTGATGAAAAAATCGAACATTAGAGCACAATAACGTATCATGGAGTAAAAAAAGAAGAAAGTATGCAATAAAATAGTTCTATTGAATGTACGTTAAATTACATTTGAAAAAATATTTTCTGCGGGCATTTTGATAAAAGACTTCATAATAAATATATCTTGCATCATACTTTGTCTCTCAAAGACTTTTATGGCAGCACGTTTGAACTGTGAAACCCTAAAGAATTGAACAGAAATGATAAAATATTTTATACTTCAGTATTTTTGGGTAGAGAATTTGTTTTTAGAATAGATCATTTTTTGACAGAACCTTTCAAGGTTCAGTTTTATTGTACAAAACTTCTTCGGTGTACCATTGCAGAAACAGAACCTTTCATGGTTCAACAATTTCCTGCTGAACCTTAAACGGTTCAGTATCATGGGACAGAACCTTTTGAGTTCCCCTTTTGGATAGAAAACATTTGATGGTTCCGCATCTTTATCCAGAACTATATCTGGTTCAGTATTATTGCAAACTGAACTTTTTATGGTTCAGGATTCTTTTGTCGAACCTCTCAAAGTTCAGCATCATGGGACAGAACCTGTCTGGTTCCGTACTTTTGACTAGAGAACATTTTATGGTTCGGTATTTTTTCACAGAATCTTAATAGGTTCAGTGTCATTGTGCAGAACCATTTCGATTCACTATTCTTCAACACAGAACTTTTTATGGCTTTGAATCTTTTCCTGAAACCTTCAAAAGTTCACTACTGTCGGACAGAGCTATTGATAGTTTCGTACTGTCATACAGAACTTGAAATGGTTCCGCATGAGCTACCGAACCATAAAAGGGTTCTGCAGAACTTCTTTTTTTCTTTCAGAGTAAGCATCATAAGTTTCGGAATTCCAGGATGAGGGAGCTGATATTTTAGTGAGTGGTAGTACTTACTCAAGGCTACTGAAAAAAAAATTTTGAATGAATTCTGGCGTGTGGTTCTCGAGAAAATGAAGGCCTGACATAGGGTTTTCAGGAATCCCTGGTTTTTAGAAGTCGAATATCTCAACTAAGCAATGCATTCTGAGAATATAATCCAGCTATTTCGAACTACCGTTACTTAAGCTTCATTTTGGTTCGAAGAAATTATGATATCTAGTTCCGCGTGTAGGTTTTCTAGAGTGCTCAATTTTAGCAAAAATCGCATTTTCCCGGCTTTTACAGGTACGCGGGCGCTTCGAGATTATTATGTACACACCCGAAAAGTATTGCATAGATACAACTTTTTATGCTCTATCCAATGGCCGAATTAAGATTTTCATATCGTGTTCACAAAAACCAAAAGTTGTTGGTTTACCAGATCGGATTTCTAGAAAATCGGATTTTGAGCCCTACCTGTAGCACTTAGCGCATGACTTCGCTGGAAACAAAATATGGTTTCCTACACAACTCGACACGGGCTACAAAACTAGTATGACTATATCTTGCCTGCAGAAGGTCGTGTATAAAGTGAGAGGACCTACGTGAAAGTAGTTACTAATCTTATTTGTTACCGTGTACCTTGCTGTGTACAGTAATTAATATAGGTTGACAGAAAATGGTTGGTGTCTTCTTACAATTTGGTAAGAATCCTATGTTGCTAAAGGGCATTTTGATTAGTGATTTGGCTAAATAGTAGCAAACACATTGAGATGCATCGAAGTAAAAATAGTTGCTAGTTCGAACAGTGTATTTTCATTCTTTTCGGGAAGCGATCTACATTAAAGTAAGCTGTGATTTTGAAATGATACTCAAAGAAATTTCAATTCGATAATACTGTTTTAGACTTCCTTTGATTTTTAGATGATTTCATATTATTCAGAAATTTAATGTTGTATTCGGTGACCGTTCAATCCGTCGCAAGACAATTCGTCGCGCGACAATTCGTTAAGATCAGTTCGTCGCATATATAGGAGAGGATACATTAATTGAATTAAAATATTTAGTGTAGAATATTATTTAATTAATCATGTAAATTGTATACGCTGTTATTGAATTATTAAATATACATGAGCATTATAGGATGGCTTCGAAAAAAGCAATAATTTACTTATGAAAAGATTTCTTAAAGAATTTTCTCTTAAAATACAAAGAGTCTGATGATAAATAGGATTCCAGTCCTTTAAGGGGATAAATTCTGATGAAATCCTCACCTAAAAAAGAAATCAATGAAAGCAAATTTCACTTTTTTTTTGAATATATGATTCGTTCAGTACTGTCTGGGACAGTTTTCTGTGATACGTAAAGATGCTCGGTTAGTGGATAAAGTGGTTCAAATATTTTCAAAATATGCTTCACGTTTATACTCCGAAGATTGAAATTTAAAAGAATTATTGGATGGAGAAATAAATTTTTAAACCCTCATAAAAATTAGAATTGAAAGTTTAAAATTAAAGTTAAAATTGGTGCAATTTAAATTGGGAAGAATTCTAAGAAAAGATGATTAAGGTTGATTTAGACTTCATGTAGAGTATTTCAAATTATTTTTTTTACATTTTCTACAAATAGAAGTAGTGTTTCGTCTACAAATTGTGTTAATAAATAAATGTCGTCGATTATCTCTGGAATATAGAAGACTGAATTTCAGGAATCAGGTATGATTTGTTGAAGAATTTTGAATCTTATCAACACATATGTAACTCAAATACTAGATTTTCTTATTTTTTTATGTGTTACGGCTTAAGTCATATTTTTTCCAAATAACGATAACTAATTTGAATCATTACGAATTATTGAATAAAAAATGTTATTTCTATATAATTTTAATTTTCATAGTAGAAAAAATTTAATTCATTTTTAATTCAATTCCATTGAGTTTTTGTCATTAAAATTCTAGTTAATTTAATCTAAAAAAATCTGTAAATTCAGATCTCTATTGTTAAAAAAAAAAGTATTATCAAGAAAAAACCATTATTCTCTAAAAAAAACCATTATTCTCTAAAAAAAACCATTTGTCACAGTGATTAATTAAACAACATTCTACACTAAATATCTTAATTCAATTAATTTATCCTCTCCTATATATATATGCGACGAATTGATCATGAGGCGAATTGATTGCGCCGAATTGCCTTGCGGCTAATTGTACTAGTGCCGAAAGGGTTTATCATTCTACGTACAGAGATCGATTGTTCTACTGTTTGATCGGAAAGGGTTATTACTCTACGCGCAGGGGCTGATTATTTTGCCTTTGCATCAAAAATGGTTTCTTAGGGTGTCGGTGTCAGGGCCTGGGTCTGGTTAATGTTATTTTATATAGCCATCCCCGCGCTAACTTGATGAAAAGAAATAGTAAGATGCCCATCGTTTTTTTTTGCACCGGTCACAACCGAAAGGAAAACATGGATCACTTATTTGGTGAAGTTGCAGTGTACATGAAACAATGTTTTGATATGCGAAAGTAAGAAGTAGCGAAATTAGAGTCACACTTCATTGGCTCAGGTAAGCATTTTATGTTAGAAAAAAAGAAAAAATATGTAAGGCCTACATATACAAAGTGATACCTCTTGTAAACTCGCATTAAAAAATAAGCATTTTGATATCGGCTGGTAAGTAGTCTTATTCGATCATCGACATTTATACATTAGCGGTGTGTTTGATTTTTTACAATATAGCAGTGAAGCTAATAATGAAAGCAAAAATGAGGAAAGATAAACATGCATTTTTGTGTTTAATATGAAGATATTGAAAAAACTGAGATAGAAAGTGTTACAGAGGCCCGGCTGTAACTTGAATCAATTCACAAAATAGAAATTTATGTTTCTATTTAACCAATCAACAACAAATTTCATATTTTCGATTCCTAATCTGAATCTGAATCTTTTCTTTATTATTCTTTTTTTTCTATTTATACTATACAACCCACACACACAAACAAGAGAGAGAGAGAAAAGAAACAAAGGAAGAAAAGGTATTTGTTTCTTCGACTAGGCTATTTTGTATATAAAGATGATGATGCATTATTCTATAAATGCACTTAAATTCCAATCGAAGAAATGATGCCATTATTCACGTCGTCACGCATGGGAGGAAAGAAGACACAATAGAGATATCCAGAGAGAGAGAGAGAGAGAGAGAGAGGAAAGAAAGAATGAAAAAGAGCGGTTGACTTATGTGCATCTCGAGTTGGATTGCACATATAAGAAATACATAACGTATGAAGACGAAACCAGAATGTATACTCTGAAAACAAAAATGGTGTCATATGAAACTATTTATGATTCTCGCCAAGATACTGAATCTTTTAAGGTTTCACTCGCTCATTAATAAACCATCATGGGTTCTAGCTAGTTTAAAGAGCCATCTCAGATTCTCAATAGTTCCGGATGTTTGAAAAAGTTCCATACTGCATCATATTTTTTAATGCTCAATAATTTTTCCAAAGATGGTTTTGGCTTGAAGCAAGATACTATTTTTTCAGAACATGATTTAAGTAATATAAATCTCAAATAGGTTGTTAGTCTATCTAGACCAGACGTGGAAAAATACATAAACTGTTTATTTCAAACATAAACAAAAGAATATATAGAGATTTATCCGCGAGAAAAAAAAGAAAACAAACAAACAAAAGATGAGAAAAACAAAAGAAAAGAAAAAAGAAAGAGAAACAGAAACAGAAAGACAAATAAAAAGAAAGGTAGTGGACCATGTACAGCTCCACTACCTAACACCTCCACCCTTTACTAGTGAACGGATTCATCTGTTCACGAAACTACACAGATAATCACACGACTGACGAAACGGCACTAAAAACAGAAAAAATGACTATGTATAACGTACTAATGGAGTCAAAAACTCACCCGAGGTTCAAGGCAGTCGAATGAACGAGCGTTATTTGTTATTAGGTTTCATTGGTCGATAACAGAAGTCAATATTTTACGACCATATTATCCCAGGGCTTCACGATTCATGAGAAGCATACATACCGAAGATTAGTGAGTATAAAAATAGTAAACTACATCACAACTACTGAATATCCAAGAACTTTCTAAGAAACTGTTAACCTATCTTGATTCAATTTTGAACTGTTCTTTTATTGCTACTTTTGATGATGGAAATTCGCACATAAATGAATTTATCGTATTCATTAATGACTGACTTTTTTTCATAAAGTATTTGAAAAGCACTGCGTTTGAATACCACTATCAAAGTTTTCATGAAATTGCAGAATCTTGAGTCAGATTCATTCAAATAATTTTCGAGTATAATTATATACCAGAAATTCTACTAGTAACCATCGTTCTCACTGGTTTAGAACCACGCGTTTTCGATAGTGACCGATGAATTAGCGATTTATTATGTTTTTAGATTTCAGTGATCAAACTTCAATTCATACATATGACTACATACGTTGAGATCTCATCAAAGACAATTGAAAATCATTTGCACGATTACACCGACGGATCTATGCCCATAAGCATGAATAAAGCAACCGAGTCAGTCTCTGTGACACAAGAAAATTTGCTCGATAGGCCTCGTTCTCTTCTATGGCGACTCTTTCATGGCATAAACTACTTCATAGCATCCCTATGTTTCGTTGGCGCATCTACTATGTTCTTGGATCGACTACGACAAGCAGGTCCAAGTACAGCTGCAGCAGCAGGTTGGCTTTATACTATTGGCTCGTTTTTATTTCTTCTCTCCGATCTGGTAGATTGGTGGTATTCCAGGCTCGGCTGTTTTTGTTATAAAAAATATGAAGAAGTTTACGAAAAAGAGAATGCTGATCTTTTTCGTTATGAACAAGGAACGATTCTTGGTCAGATAACAAGAGCTGAAATTGGGTTTAATTTTTTTCTTTCGGCATGTGGATCTGTGCTTTATCTTGCTGGCTCGATTCTATTTATACCGTGTTTCGAGAATTATGTTGTCATAGGTCTCTGTTTGGTTATATCAGCCTCAAGTGTCGTGGTTGCAGCTCAAAGCTGGAAGGTCTATCGAGCAGGTTGTACAAGTCTAACCGATCGACTTGATCATCGATTTCATTTTGTGAATTTATTCAACGATATCTCATGCTTGCTAATGGATATATTCTCCGGTCTGGGAGGTGCATTCTTCATAGTTGGTACTACTTTTTTTCTGCCACAGTACTACACCAATAGTCCATTCGGAAATAATCGACCAGCTGGACTTTGCTTGTGTGGAAGTGTTTTTTTTACTCTTTCTGGCGTTGTTGTAAATTATCGTCATTATTATTTGGTGAAACCACGTGACCAAGATTCACACACTGTACAGCACAATTATTACCAATGTAACTTTCGATCATACTGATTTAATCTCCTTTTTTCGTTTCAATGCACACTAAATAAAAAGCGTTTCCACAGAAACCGAAATCCCTTCGCAAACCTTTTTGGAAACTCACAAGCGTATCCGGAAAGGTTTTCGGCTCTAAGCTGAGTTTTTGAAATCACCTTATAGGTTTCCGAGTCCTCTGAAACGGTTCGTTTTTCGAGAATTCAGATAGGAAACCTTTAACCGTTTTATCAGCAACCATCAAACAATTTTCGAAACCCAAAAATTATCCTCGGAAACTTAAAGCATGTCGTCAGCAACCTATCGGTTTTCGACCACTTTTTTTGGGGAGCCTTTTGGGTTTCTGGGGATCGGAACCGTTGAAAGCGTATGCCAGAATACTAGCTTGGTTTTGGAATATATCTCGAAAGCCCTTCAAGATTTCCAAATTATTAGACGCCTGTGCGTTTCCGACAAAATGTCTCGGAAACCCATTAAACATAGTGGAAAACCGTACTAGTATTAAAATTTCATCTTTCTCATTTTTACGAGTTAATCGGCAGCTATAACAAAAATTGTCTTCAGTGTACGCGAAATTGTTTTCTAAAACTTTTAGAATTGTTCAGATTCAAAACAATTCTTCTTTTCCGAGAGAATGTTGTCTTATTTTTACATTCCTAGTTGTATACAGTTGTAAGTATATTAAATCACGAAGTTCGCTTTGAAACTTGGTGCACTTCGCTAAATCGTCATTCCATTCTAGAAATTTTGTTTTTCTTCTTCTATTATTGAATTAAGTTCCGTTCGTTGTCCAAACATCACTATCTGTGAAAACATTACAGTGAAGCACGGGAAGTTGTTATGCTTAAAGATTCTTTTAACTAATTTAGGTAAAAGCTTTATATACAATCGTATGATTGAAATAATGAGGAAATATCCATTTCTAATAGACTGAAACAAGCATTATTCTTCTAGAAGCAAAAAACGTTCTTAAGATGTATCCACATGAACAGTGATGAGTTAGAATATTATTCTATTTTCTTTGTGTTCTTGTTCTTTCTTCGTATGCTTATTTTGTATTTCGAATAAAAATAAAGGCAAGTGCCTGTCTAATAAAGAGATATTTTATCATGTATACCCGGTCTAGTATTGTTTACTTCAACTGTTGTAAAATGAATTATGACTGAAGTGAGTGGCTGCTAGTTGTCATATAGTTTGAAATATTTACTTGCTTAACTCAGATAATTCACATTGAGCTCCTAGGAAGAGTAAATTAACATCTATTTATGAAAAAATTGCTGTACTTTGTTTTAATCCTTTTCATGTATATTCTTATTTAGCTGGATAATTTATTCAACTTCTCCAAAATATCTCTATACTTTCATAAACCAATCAAAAAATACTTTTCTTTCACCTGCAAATTAATCAATGAAATTCCAATAATTTACGACAATTTCTTATTTTCTCTTAATATAATTTTATTTACCACAGAAGACTTAGGTTTGTCAAATGTACCAAAACACAAATCTTTTTTGAATTCGATTCGCGTCAAGAAGAAATAAAGGTAGTTCTTCAAGCACTCTGATATTGTTATCCAAACTAAGATTCGTGCACTCAGTACATGAAAATTACTAAGGATTGTGGTTTTCGTTATTATAGATGAATACTTTGATCCATTAATGCGGAATGTGGGCGATGTTTCGGTTTGGCTACATCAGGTTCGGGAAAGCGAAAATTGGTCGAACGAAAATTGATCGCGGTTAATTAACATGTTTAAAGTTAGGGAGTCGAGCAATAGCATTATCGGATAGATTGACCAAACAATTATCAATAACAGTTTGTGTTGCTTCGTTGCAGTTCATTGCGCGATCCCGAACTTTTTCTTCGAATAATCTGATTTCAGTTG